GAGGTCGTGACGGAACTGAGGTGGCGGTCCGCTCTGTCATCTTGCTAAGCTCCGCCCCTCGAGCGAGCTGATTGGCCCGCCCGTCGCGATCCTTCCCTCTGATTGGTCGGCCGGAACTAACCCAAAGGAACCGACCTCTTGGGGTTTTTGTTTTTTCGGGAATATTTTTTGGGATATTGTACATGATTTTTGTATGCACGTAAAAATACATATATGTCATTTAAGATTTTTAGAGCGAATGAGGATCTTCTGTGGTTGAAAATGCTGAAATTCCCTTCTTATTCAATGTTTCTTTTTTTTTCTTTCTTTCTTTCTTTTTTTTTTTTTTTTTTTTTTTTTTTTTTGACATTTCCCTTCCAACAAAATTTCTTTTACATGAAAACATAATTATAGAGAAAATTAATATCTTCTGAAACGCAAATTCAAAGAAAACTAAAGTCAAGTTGAAATTAAAAGAATAACACAGGAAAAAAAATATAAAAGGATGAATAAAAGACATAATTCCACCTTACAAGAAAACGAATAAGATAATAATGAAAAATAAAGAAAAGAAAAGAAGAAAAATACAAACGCAAAATAAGCAACAGATTTCAAGGCGACTCAGTATCAAATGTAATCCCGTGTCTCCTTAAAAAAAACCTTTAACTATATATTTAAAGAGAAAAAACAAAATAAATCTCTAAATCTTTAGGAAATACGACACACAAATCACCTCCTTTTAAGAATCTTAGATGAAATAAACAATCAAGCAAACAAACAAATAAATGTGTTAAAAGATATATCAGATGAATAGATAAATAGATGAACAAATAAATGAATAGATAAGTAATCAAAGAAGATAGATAGATAAATAAATAAAGACAAATATACCAACACAAAACTTTTCTCCCCCTCCCCCCCCCGCCAATTAAAATAGTCCCCCCCCCTCCTCTTAAAAAAGAATCTTCCACCCCCCCCCCTTCAAAAAATGGTTCCCCGCCCCCCCCGCCAATTAAAATGGTTCCCACCCATACCCAAAACGTTTCCACCCACTCCCCCTTCTAATAATGCCCCCCCCCCCCCAAATAAAACACGGTTCTCGCCTCCCAAAACATCAGGGATTCCATAGGGCGCGCGGGCGGTAATATAGACACATACATGGCTCGCGTAAGACAAAACCGGGTTGGAAACAAATAAGTAATGTGCAAGAGATGTGTGTTCTTTCGCGGAAACTAAGCCTGAAAGAGAGAAAAAGATGGCGTATTTGTTGTTGTTGTGGCAATGGTATGGTGTTCTGTAGTTCTCGTAAAAAAAAAAGAAAAAAATCTGACAAGGCATATATCGAGTTCGTATTTATTTATATATTTAGTTATTTATTTTTTAAATCTTATTTTTATTTTATTTATTTTTTTTTAAACTACAACAAAGACAATGGAAAGGTCAGTCCTTGTTGCCGTCGTGTAGTTTTCCGCGATATATGTTGTGTCATATTTCTATTGTCATGATCACATGTCATTTTGCTTCGTAATCATTTATTTGCAACTGATTCGTTCATTTTGCATCAGTTCATTATCTTCATCATTATAGTGTACAATCTATAAGCTTAAGATAAAACCAAAGAGAAAGTGAAAACACCTGTCACGGTCATGCTTTGGTTTACGATAAAATATCACTTATGACAAATGAAGATTATATGATAATGACAGTGTCTAGAAGGTTAATGATGATGACGATCATACTGGTAATCACAGTAATGTTATAGCGATTAGGAGAGACATACTGATGATACTAATGATAATAGGAATGTAATAACAATGGGATGACAGTAGTAATTATGATGATTACCATGATCGAAGTGCATTGTTGTTATTATTATTATTATTGTTGTTGTTGTTGTTGTTGTTGTTATTGTTATTGTTATTATCATTATTATTATTATTATTATTATTATTATTATGATTATTATGATTATTATTATTATTATTATTATTATTATTATTATTATTATTATTATTATTATTATTATTATTATTATCCTTATTATTATTATTACTATGATTATTATGATTATTATTGTTATTATTATTATCATTATGAACGTCATCATCATTACTATTATTATTATCATTATCTTCATTAATGTTACTATCATTATTACTTTTGCCATTATTGTTGTTATCATTATATCTATTTTAATTACCATTATTGATGTTATTATTATTGTTATTATAATAATAATAATGATTATTATCATTATCACTATTATATTATTATTATTATTATTATTATTATTATCATTATCATTATCATCATCATTATCATTATCCTTATTATTATTATTATTATTATTATTATTATTACTATCATTATTATCATTATATAATTATTGTTGTTGTTGTTGTCGTTAATCATAATAACATTATCACTATTGACATAATTATTTATCAATAGTATCATTATCTATTATCATTATCATTATTGTTATTATTGTTGTTGTTGTTATTATTATTATTATGATTAT